TCCTACCGTTATATGCAGTAGATAGAATAGTAAAAATATATTTAGAATTCCTGCATAAGCGTTGAGATGAAATGGGATTATTTGAGATGAGATGGGATTATTTGAGATGAAATAGTATGATATGTTATTAGATGGAATGCGGCATAACGGAAACCTATAGGATGTCTGAGTCCTTATGACAATTATCTCATCCTCATTATTTCTCTCATTCATTGTATGTTGCCTTGCTGCGACATATTTCATGTAAACTCTCTACATAATCCTTTAAATCGTCTTGCTTACTTTAAGCTTTTGTCAGTAGTATGCCTAGAATTTGGACAAGAATATAGGCATATATGTACCATATTACAGAAGCATCTACAATTATTTGTTTTATCTTTTGACTAATCTGTAATTCTCTATTTTTATAATAATATCTATTCTCTCATGTCTATTAAAAAGAACTAGCTATCATATTCATTGTACGCGTGTGTCGATACCATCAATTGACCTTGAATAAGCATATTCAATGGGGATCTAAGACTATTCGTCGAATTTTCTCATTACTAGCATCCCAGTATCCCCCTTGACAATAAGGATGACTTGACCTCTTATTTAAGATTTTCTGATGGTCTTTAACCATACTTACTATGAATATAAGTGAAATAATCAAGAAAAATGGCAAATTCAAGTTTGCTTAACCAACATTCTCACCGTAAAATGTGACATGGGATAGGCTTAGCTTGCTTTAAATGTTATTTCTACCTCGCAACCGATTGACATTTATGGCAGTGCGTTTGTAGTTTTCATAATGTTGTCTCGTACCCTTTGCTGTGAATGTGACTTCTTTCTTCAACATCTGCCTTCTTGCTTGTCCCCGTGCATGTATGATGTGGATGCAGAGAAACAACAGCTGACCGATCGTCTTTCTGCGGCGGAATCGAATCTTCTCGGACAGGAGGAGGCGCTTCATCGCGTCGAGCGTGAGAGAAACAAACTGACTGACCAGATCAACCGACTGGAGCGCCAACTGACGAGTCAAGAGACCGCCAGAATGGAACTTCAGGTTGCCATAACGCTATCATTTTTCACTGTTTCCTTTCTTTGAGCTTTGTTCATGTCATATTTGGTCTTTCACTCTCACTTATTGAGTTACCAAGAGGGCCTTTGAACAAATTGAAGGTTATCTCTATTCTACACTTTGTGGCTCACTCCTATCAAGAACTATTAACATCATGATGACAACTGGTCTGGTTGAAAATGCCGCATAAGCGCTGTAGAAGAGGTTATTCCGTTTCGAAAATTAAGGGATCACTCACTCATTTAGCTGAGATCTGCACAATAAGAGAACTCTTTGCCTCATCATTCTTGTCGTCGCTAAAATCATTGTCATCATCATCATCATCATCATCATCATCATCATCATATTCTCTGCATGAACATGTAAATCTATTATATAAGATAAATATTTAACCTACTTCGTTTAGGGTGAGAATAAGACAGATAGTTGCATTTCAATACTATGATATAAGTAGACGTGACGCTTCCATTGGTTAACGTGTCGAGATAATACTCTACAGTGTCATGGTTTGGGTTCCGCTAAGGGTGTTTATAAGAACTGGGCAAGATTGAAATTGCAGCCCATCCTGGATTAGAACACCTTTTGGGAAAGCAAAGCTATGTGAAATTTAATGGAAAACATCAGCTCTACTCACATCATTTTAGGAAAAATAAACTACCAGCCCTTCATCAGCTTAAATGAAATGGGGTGAATAAAACTCATATGTTTGGCAATCTATTGTTCGTAACTGTTGAGGACCAGATTTTTGCTAAGTTATTTTTCTGTCTCTGGCATTTCGAATACACATGTTGAAAAGAAGCAATGATTTGATTGTGAACTTAAACTTTAAGAGCAGTTTTTCATCGGGGGTGGGCTGCCGTTCTTCTTCGCTAACACCCCCAGTGGGATTTACACTTGGGACCTACAAGTTGATAAAAAATCTGACCTAGATTCCATATGAATTCTAGGCCAGGCAGAGCACTTTCAATACTCATTGAAACGGGTGAATGCATAGAAATTGTATTCTTTATCCTCCAATATCATTCTCCTATTCTTAATTTTTGTATGCATTGAAAAAGCATCCATTCACTCTTAACGATGTGTAGACAGTAGACCTGAAACTGACCTTAATATGAACTTACTGAGGAATAATTTTCTTAAATAAACACAAGCCCTTGTTTCTCTTCTTAATGAAGTTATATATTCAAGTAAAACTATGACAATGTACTTTATATCAACAATACTGATAGCACCAATAACCTAAAAGTATTACAGCATATTCATGTTTTTTTATTTCCTTTTTTATCAAGTGGTAAACTCAATTCGTCTTTTATATGCATTCAATTCTATCCCTTTTGATTTTTGGATGAGGATAGCTTGGCGACAGTTTTTAGACAGCTTCTTGCCTGCCACCACATTGGGAGCTAGCCTCAAGGGGTCGTTTCTTTTGCTGAGATAGTTATGCGAGTCAATACAGGCATGATGCGATTACTATGACTGATTTTCAACGTCAAAAAGTAGTAGTATTAAAAATCGTACTATTCGAAGGGATCGTAACATATAATCATGAAATTAGTTGTATATCATCGAAAAGTTTAATAAATATTTTAGTGGTAAAATTGTTTCTCTGTTTCTTGATAAAATATAATGAGCTAACATATTAGCATTAATAATTAATAATATAGGATAATATTACAGTAGTAGAATATAATCGGATAATCATAAAATATTAAAATCTAATCTAATGAATGCTTTTACTAGTGTCCCATTGTGTAGACTTCTTATTTCTGGTAGGCCTCTGTCTTTTGCCCTCGAGTGCGCAGCTTTCCCAGTAAGCGTAGAATATGGCTGGAAAATCCTCTTTTTGACAAGAAGTCTGCACAACCCTCTCCTCTGAAACAGCCTCAGTAGAGAATAGCTGGTGAAGCTGCATAACTACTCATTCGACCGACCAGTACCGATGACCATGTGGCACTCAAAAATAACTGAATTCAAGGCATTTTCGGAGCACTCTGTTGTATGAAGATAAGCAGACTTTTGCCAAATGTATCAACGATGTGATGTGATTCGCGTGTGCATTTCGAAGAAAAATAGCTTTAAATGGATTTGTGAATTGGCCTCAGCGGAATCCGAAGAAGGAGTGTTTTGGTGTAAAGATCGCTGGGTTGGGCAAAAAAGTCCTCAGTTCACCATCCTGCGTCTTGCGTCCTGCGATCCCGAAGAAGGGATCTTCCGCCTGTTCTACGATGACAGACATCATCACAGCGAGAGAGCATACTTTACGAAAAACCGCACTGACAGACTAAACCAACATTAATTCAACATTGTGCATGCGCATATGCATACACAGCACCACATGCTCAGGCCTGTGTCATCATTATAGGATCATAGGCTGTTTGATTTATATGACCATATCCACCAGTTTTTTAGAGAATCAACTTCACTCATTCGCAAGCATTTCTGGTAAGCATGAAGTGACTATGTAAAATCAAGGGCTGCCTCCATACCACCTCAACATTAGGCATAGGCAGCGAATATGCTTGCAGCCGGCCAGCTTTTCTTTTAGTTTAATCTTATATTATTTTTCGTGTGCAAGTAGAGGTTTGAGTCTACCAGTAAATCAGTAATATAAGATGTATTCTCTCTATTTCGTTTAAAGTGATGAAGGACTGTTAATAGAATTTTCCCACAAAGATATGAGTAGAGCTGAAGTTTCCAGTGAATTTCATAGAGCCTTGATTTCCCGAAAGTTGTTCTCATTCAAGTTGGGGTGGACTACAGTTTCGACCTCAAATAGATCTTATCAACATCCCCAGCGGGACTCGAACCATGAAAGTGCAGCATGTAAGCTTGCCACGCAACCACTCTGCCACATTGCCACGAGTGCCCTTGAGTCAAAGGGCAGATTCGAATCTCAAGGAAAGCCAGGCCTTTTCCCATATCACATTATTCTGTGGGATTGTCGTATTTTTGCTCTAACAATCGATTACGTTACTTATTTTTCGTATGTAAGTAGAGATTCGAGAAATAGGATGGATACATCTTATATTACTGATTTAATGGTAGTCTCGAAACTCTACTTACATACGAAAAATAAGTAACGTAGTCGATTCTTATAGCAAAAATACGTGATATGATATATGGCCTTCCTGTGAAATTGTATGGAAAGGTTAGTGGTACAATTCTGCAACCAGTCCTTCATCACCTTAAACCAAATAGGGTGAATACATCTCATATTATTATAATATTTTTGCGCCTTTTTGTAAATTATTATTTCTCGCTGTGACTATTTCTTTGAATGGAGTACGGACTAAGGCTAAGCGCTAGTTTGCCTGAGTTGCCAAAATTTTATTCTCGAATTCCATTTTTCTCTGCCTTTAGGCCTTCTATCTTCGAATTAGAACTGTGGTCGCCAAATTTCGTTTAAACTCTTATCAACACTTTCAGCGGGACTA